TCCTCTGGTTGCTCAGAAAGATCTATTGCAGTTTCTCTCTTATCAGCTTTGCACCATTCATCAAAAGGAACTACATATCTTACTTACACTGATCTCTCCCATCTTTAAGTCTAAAATTCTGTATCCTTTGCCTCCAGAAGCATATCCTACCACGATTCCTAGTTCTGCTCTGGAGTCTGGTTTTTGCCTATGGGGGGGTCACATATGTTCTTGCACGCCAAAGTTCAAAAGGTGAGTGTTATGGGAATGTTGTGGGTAGCAGGAGAGGATATATTTATTAATATTATCCTTCCTAACTCACGCTAGCAAGTTTCTTCATATAGCAGAGTGCATTCCCCTATTACACAGCAGGAAACTGGTTACAGACTCGTTAGAATCTCTTAAGTTCTATTATTCCTGGTTAAAATCCCTCAAATCCCTCCTAAAAGAATAAAGACACAACAGTCTTACTCGTAAGTAACAAAAAGAAGTTTATTCACGATTAGCACAGTGTGATCCCTGAAGGCAGGCTTAAGGCTTGAGGTTACAAATAAGTACAAATATCTCCCATATGGGAGATAACCCAAGTACTGCTGGCTGAGAGCCAACAGTGTAGTCCAGGTGAAGCAGGAAACAGGCAGGACAAAAAAGAAAGAGGGGAAGAAGGGAGGTGGCTACGTGACTTGGCCTTTTACCAGGTCTGGAAAGGTCATGCCCACCTGCTTAGTCACATGCAAAAGAAGGATGCTCCAGCCAGGTGTAACAGGAAGTTCAACTGGCTGGCTGGACCAACATCCCCTGCATGTCCACTCTAGCAAAACAGGTAATGTTGTACTTAACTGCACCAGTGGGTTACAACCCACAAGTGTATAGCTCCCTTAGTAGGCAGTATGTTTTGGAGGTACACTGCAGTGGATACTGTGTCTCCCCACACATGTTTGGGGAGATTTGTATCACTTACCAGGCATCTGAGAGAAAAACTTTCTATCTGCCACTGAGTTCTATTGCAGGGTGTAGGGTGCACTCCTCAGCTGTGTAATGCCTTCCTCTTCCAAGAGGTTTCTCATGTGGTGTGAAGTGTACTCACCACCATCATTGCTCATGAAAATTTTGGGTTTCCTCTGGAACTTGTTGTTCACCATGGTGAGGTATTTTCTGAACACCTCCATGATTTCACATCTCTCCTTAAGAATATATGCAACATTTTATCTTGAGAAAGCATCTAAGAAAATTAGATGGTGCTTAATTTTCTATTGTGAGGGAACATTCAGTGGAAAACATATTATTAGTGTGTGAACAACATCAAGTACTCTGGTACTTTGCTCTGTACATGGAGGAAAAGAAGGTTTTGCCATTTCCCAGTACAGTAATGTAGTTCACACACTTTTTGGTGATGGAAGCATCCTGAGTTACCCTTACAGTACTCTTCTTTCAAGCTCCTTGTGCAGTACTGTATAGCCATAATGGCTTTGATGTCTCAGTGGCCAAATTTTCTGTGCCAAAGTTCCACATTTGTGTCACCCTTCTGGAGGGATTGAGCCACACATTCACTCTGGGGTTCTGAAAAATCAGTCTTATATACACCATTAGTTAGAGGTGCTTCTTCTGCATACAATCCCCATCTCAAATCGGTCTAGAGAAAACCAAGCCAACCATGCTTGTTCTCAGACAACAGAACCAAGAGGAACTCTCATCCTGAAGTGCAAATGGGAGGAAGTTGTAAGTGGGTTGCAAGTTAAGACTGTGTCCAGCTAAACTTCAAAGGACAAAGAAATCAGCATATAGGTCAAAGGTGCGGGAATAGCCTAGGAACCTGGAGGTCTATTATAACCCAATGTAAACCCCTTACTGCAAGTTGAGTTTCACCTAAACTTTCAACAGAAATGGCATAGAATCAAAGAATCAGAAGGGAACCCAATGGCCATCTAGTCCAACCCCCTACAATGTAGGAATTTTTTTGCCCAACATAGGGCTTGAACCCATCAGTGGCAGAGCTAGCCTCTCTGGCACCCAGAGCGGCACATATGCTGTGCAGCTGGGAGGCGGGGCAAGTTGCCCGGGGGGGGCGATCAGCATGCCGATTGGTGCCCAGGAAGGCATTAGGGGCAGTGATCAGCACCCATTGGGGGCGACCAGCGCAGCGATTGGCGTCCAGGGGGGCGATCGACGTGGTGATCGGTGCCCGGGGGGCAGCACAGCAATCTGTCCGGGGGGGGTTGTCACACACACCCTCAGGGATGACACCCAGGACAGGCCACCCCCATCGCCCCCTCTTCCTATGCCCCTGGAACGCATGATCCTGAGATTAAGAGACAGTGTGGCTAACCAAGGTTGATAGTGATCAAATGCAGAGCCCCAAACTTTAGCTTCCTTTCAAGTGGGAGGCAAGGGCTGCAGAAAGTGGCAGTAATGTGCTCAACACTTGAAAGCAACATGGCCTAATGAGGGAGGGGGCCATCCAGGAAACAGCAGCATAGATGAGAACTATCATAGATAGAACTGTAGAGTTGGAAAAAAAGCCCAATGGTTATCTCATCCAACCCCCTGCAATGCAGGAATCACAGCTGAATAACCTCTCACAATTGGGCACCCAACCTCTGTTTATAATTGCCATTTATTTGAATGGTGCTACGGGTGACACTGTGGGTTAAACCACAGAGCCTAGGACTTGCCGATCAGAAGGTCAGCGGTTCAAATCTCCGCAACGGGGTGAGCTCCCATTGCTTGGTCCCTGCTCCTGCCAACCTAGCAGTTTGAAAGCACGTCAAAGTGCAAGTAGATAAATAGGTACCGCTCCAGTGGTAAGGTAAATGGCATTTCCGTGCACTGCTCTGGTTCGCCAGAAGCGGCTTAGTCATGCTGGCCACATGACCCGGAAGCTGTACGCCGGCTCCCCCGGCCAATAAAGCGAGATGAGCACCACAACCCCAGAGTGGGCCACGACTGGACCTAATGGTCAGGGGTCCCTTTACCTTTACCTACCCAGTACCCACATGTGGAGGTATGTGCCTGTGCAGGTGCACTCTCTCCAGCATTTTGGTGAAATTCCTGGGCATATTAGCACTGGTTTTCTTGGTGTTAGGTACAACCTGTAGGTGATTTTCAGAGTGAGTTCTTTTGTTTTTGTTGATATGGATTTAAAGTGGGGTTTAGACCACATTCTGGTCCATTGAGTGGGGTTAATCTCATAGCCTATGTCATCCTCCCATTGTTTTTTGATTGTGTCTAGGGAGTTTGTGGGATTTTGGAGTACTATTTTGTATACTGTGGATCCCATCCCTTTACCGTGTCCCTTTATTGTTAGGAGGAGGTTTTCGAAGGTTGTCAGTGGCTGAGTTGCTGCTGATTTTACTGCTGGATTGTTTAAGAGGGCATGTAATTGGTGATGTGCTAACCAGGACATTTGGGTGTCTTCTAGTCTGCCTTGTATTTCTTGTGTTGACAAAGGTTTGTTATTTTATAGAAGTCTGTTAGACAATATAAGCCTTTGGTTTGCCAGGTTTTTATCTGGAGGTTTTGTGCTGTGTGATGGAATAACGGGTGGTGTGCCAGGGGAGTTAGTGGGGATGGGGTTGGGGATAGTTTGCCTATTTCTGTTTTCCATGCTTTGAGCATGGTCTGTGTGTACCTGTTAAGTGTTGTGCGAATTTTCCTTAGTTTGTTTGGGAGGAGTGGGTATGCTGTAGTGCAGGTATTTTCAATTGTGTCCCTTTCTAGGTGTATCCATTGTTTTGTCTCATCTTCTAGTATATATGGGATTATATGGCGTATTTGGTTGGCACTGTAATATGCTTCTATGTTGGGGATTCCCCATCCTCCCTCTGAGGTGGGGAGGTGCAGGTATTTGGGGCTTATTCTTGGTTTTTTCTGTGAGAAGATAAAAGTGTGTAGTTTTCTCTGCCATCTGTGAAGTTGGGTTGGGGGAATCCAGATTGGGAGGGTTTGGAATAGGTAGGTTAGTTTTGGGAGGGTGATCATTTTGATCATGGCTATTTTGTCTGAGAGAGTGAAATTCATGTTGTTCCATCTCTTTAGGTCTTTGTTTATATGTCGCCACAGGGGCTTGTAGTTGTGGAGGTATAATTTATTGAGGTTTCTGTTTATTTGTACCCCTAGGTATCTGAACTTGGTGTGGCAAAGTTTTATCTTGGTGACATTAGTGAGTTCTTTTTGGGTGTGAGGAGGGGTGTTGAAGCACATAGCAAGGTAGGTTAGATTGAGAGAAACTGATTGCCTCAAGGTTATTGGACAGCATTCTGACCACTGCACCACACTGCCCCTTAAGGAGCGCCTCTGAACCACGGAGACTCATGAGTGGTCCAAGCTTGGAGCGGCAGAGCCAGCTGTTTTTCTAAAAAGTGATGCGTCTAGACCGAGCTTTTCTTGCGAGTTTATATCTTCAAGCTCCGTTTGTTTGTAACTCAAACATGGATTTTGGCTAATAGTGCCTTAGAGACCAACTAAGTTTGTTCTGTTACTCCTGAGTAAGCTTGGGTAGACTCCTGGGGATAGCCCCCCCCAACCGGGAACAAATTTCAGTCTGCTTCTGGAGCTTCTGGCGCCCACTTGCCACGGGAAGGGAGCGTTTCGATGCCTCTAAACCCCACCAGTTCTCTATACTAGAGCACCTGCATCGAAGGCGCAAGGTCCCTGGTTCAATTCCCGGGCAGGGTCGGGAATGTTCCACCCACCGCCCCCCTTTGAAAGCCCAGAGAAGAGTTGCCGTATAGCGGAGAGGACACCTAGGGAGATAGACCAAGGGTCTGGCTTCCAGTGTAAGCTGGCTTTCTGCTCGGAGCGCTCGTGCAGCCAGAATCGGGGCCGCCCCAGCGGATACAGCGCCTATGCAGCCTTTAAGAGAGGATGTTTGATAACGGGACATTGTCTCTGACTGGCTGCGCTTGAGTGGGACGGACCTGTCCGTGTGGGGGGCGGGTTACACTAGCCAGACAGACTTCGTTCGTTTGCTGGAGAGAGTCGGTCAGTTCTTCGAGGTGAGCCCAGCTGACAGTTGCGCCGCCATGAAGTGTTCTCTGCTCTTCGCTCTTCTGCTGCTGCTGTTGCTGCGCCTTCTGCCTTGTGGCGAGACCCAGAGCACGGCCCCTGCTCCCACCGAAGACCCCTTGATGCTGAACGAGACCAATGGATCGATGTGCGCCCAGTGGCTGTACGGGTCCGAGCCGCCAGTGGTGGAAGCTTTCCAGTGCGCGGGGCAACCCGACGGCGCCGAAGTCAAGTTCTGCTGCGGGACCTGCGATCAGATGCGCAATTGCTCCTTCGAAGAGCTCGCCAAGGGCTCCCCAGCGCGCCCCACCGACGGCGGACCACAGCAGTGCCCTGCTTCGCCTCCAGTGACCCGTAAGGCGACCACCTCTCTTTCTATCTCTTAGTACCTTGGGTGAACACTACCTGCGCGCTGCCCCTAATTCTGCATGCGACCCTGCCGTCCTCTCTCTTTTAGACGTAGGTTCCCCGCTCCCCAGCTGGTTCCCATTTCCTTCTATTTCTGTTCGTCCCGCTCTTTAACTTGCGGTGATGCGCAGAAGACTCTGGGTTGCCGCCGTCGGACTAGCTTGCTGACGGGCATGCAAGTAGCTCCGAAAGAGTTTGGCAAGATTTGTACACGGGGTGGGGAGTGGGCAACTTTCCCGAAAAAGTCCGGAGTGTCCTGCTTTCTAGGCTGCTCCCGTATAGGAACGTTTGTCCCAGGGAGTCTTCTCAGATGAGTGTAGTAAGACTTCGGTTACTATGAAACACTTTCCTTTCCTTGAGAATATTAGCATATTTATCTTGGTACCTGAAGAAGGAGGGGAAGGTAGTTCCTGTACTCAGTATGCGGTGGACTTTATTTCTTGGCGTATTGACTCCTGAAGAATGGCTTCAGTTTGAGATACTTTACCTTAGGATGCTAGCCATATCCGCGCTCCTCCTAGTTTTGGAATTCAAAATCCCCTGCTCCATTCCTGGGGTGTCCAGTTTGTCCCGTTGAGCCGAACTCTCGAGCAAATGGGTAGCAGAACAAGCACTAATCACAGTCTTTCTTCTGTTTCAGAGTTGGAGAGGGTGACTTTGTTTACCGGAGGAGTTGCTGCTAGCTTGGTATTCTACTTGGCTGTTTACCGTACTTACAAGATATTCTGGCGTAGAAAGCGATCCACCCGCGAAGCACAGGAAGGGATCGAGCTAGAGGTCACCCCTTCTGATAGATCCCATGACTCCTCCGACCGCTCCAGCACATTGGCTGCACCGTCGCCTGCTGGTGCAGAGGGTCTTCAGAGTGTCCGTGGCGCTCCTGCTGCTGCATCTGGCAGCCCACCGAGTGTGCAGCCCCAAGCTAGGGGCTCTGAGAATGTGACCATCATGTGGTATCCAACAGGATTTGTCCCACTCCGAATTGGCCCTCCTTCTGCCTCACAGCCAAACCAGGGTGGCAAAAAAACCCCGGCTAGGTCAGAGAAGAAGTAGGAGACCCTCCTCTAATTTAAGGGGTTAGGCTCCCCTGCTAAAGCTGATCACCCACAGCATGCTTTTTAGAATCAGGGAAATTAGCTGATCCTATGAGGAGGATGTCTTGCAATCTATTAACTTGAATGTCACCTACTATTATTCAATACTATCAGTCACTGCTTTGTTGTAATAAAGTGTTTTTATCATTATGTCATGTGCTTAAAGTATGCATTGAATGTGCACTGAAAAGCTTGTTGTGGCTCAGCATGTTGCATCACTGTGTTTGACTTTTCCTATGGGAGGCTTGTTACCTGCTCTATATTGGCACAAGCCGGGGGTCTGTCTTATGGGAGGGTATTTTTTTCTTTTGCCATATAATAGTCTCTGAGGTTTCCTTAATCTTTCATTGTATAACCATTTCTGTGTATGATTCCTGCAGAGGCAAATCAGGAAAGCCCGGACGGGTCCTGAATCATTTGCTTCTTGAATGCATAGAATCATGTTTGTATCATTTGTCAATGTATCCACCAAATAATCAATAAAAATGTGTTTTTTGCAACCTGGTCTCTTCAATTCTAATTTTCCATCTTCTGACTAAATTCTATTGCAGGTGGGATTTCATATGATGTGGCACAGCAGTTTAACTGCCTCCATTAGATCTCTAGCCTTGATTAGCTCTTTGAAGATGCAATTCTATTTGCTTTCTATTCTGTTTAGATTTTACACTTCCTCCAAGGAGCCAGTAGGCGAGACAGTAAATGTCCAGATGTGGCCCAAGGAGTGCCACTGGAGAAGGAGGGATTTGCTCTCCCCATCCCTAGCCCAACACTCTCACCACTACCCTATACTTGATTAAAGACCCTAAACCAGCGAGCTCTCAGCCTGTGGGTCCCCAGGTGTTGTTGGACTACAACTCCCATCATCCCTAAACTCTGGCCTTGCTAGCTAGGGATGATGGGAGTTGTAGTTCAACATCATCTGGGGACCCACAGGTTGAGAAAGACTGCCCTAAATAGTCACAGGTCACCCTGGTGATTGTCTCAGGCAAAGATTGTAGGCTGGCTTGTGGAACTGTTGGGAGGGTCTTGGGTGTTCTCTCTCTCTGCTCCCTTCTTGCCCTTCACAAATAACCCAGAGGTGCAGTTTAAATAAAAGCACACCTTCTACTCACATAAAAACACCAGGCAGGCCCCACAAATAACTCAGAGATGCATTTTAAATAAAAGGACACCTTCTACTCACATAAAAACACCAGGCAGGCCCCACAAATAACTCAGAGATGCATTTTAAATAAAAGGACACATTCTACTCATGTAAAAACACGCTGAGCCAGATTGTGGAACTGGTGGAACTGGTGGGAGGGTTTTGGGTGCTCTCTCTCTCTGCTCCCTTCTTGCCCTTCACAAATAACCCAGAGGTGCATTTTAAATAAAAGCACACCTTCTACTCACATAAAAACACCAGGCAGGCCCCACAAATAACTCAGAGATGCATTTTAAATAAAAGGACACATTCTACTCATGTAAAAACACGCTGAGCCAGATTGTGGAACTGGTGGAACTGGTGGGAGGGTTTTGGGTGCTCTCTCTCTGCTCCCTTCTTGCCCTTCACAAATAACCCAGAGGTGCATTTTAAATAAAAGGACACCTTCTACTCACATAAAAACACCAGGCAGGCCCCACAAATAACTCAGAGATGCATTTTAAATAAAAGGACACATTCTACTCATGTAAAAACACACTGAGCCAGATTGTGGAACTGGTGGGAGGGTTTTGGGTGCTCTCGCCCTTAATGTTCCTGTTTCTCTCTCTCTGCTCCCTCCTTGCCCTCCATGAGGTGGGGCCTTAGGCAGTTCACCCCACTTTTCAGGGAGCAAAATGTTTTAAACCTCCCCTCCCTCTTCCACAATTCTGATGGAAGTATCCCCCGCCAAGCTTCGGTCATCATGGGAATCATGGGGAGGGAAGATTCAACCAGCCAGCCGGGGAGAAGAGGTCGGGGGAGGGGGGAGGAAGTGGGGGAAGAAGAGTGTGAAGCATCTCTGATTCTACCCTCTGCTGAGAGATTACTCCAAGAGAATCCAGCTCTTGTTGGCAGAAAGGTGGCCCACTCCTCTTCTCACTGCTACAGTTTGTTGAAGTCTATAGTGAAGTGTGTTGGCAGGGCGCAAGCACAGCATGGGAGCATTCCAAACTCAGCCAGGGGAGCATCATGACTTAACAGAGAAGCACATCCAAATTGCTCTGCCAGTCTGGAGCCCAAGTCAGGCCAGGTACCATCATATGATGGCTTCACCCATGAAGCAATTTGCCCCTCCCCTTCTGATGCTGTTCCTGCTGGCATGAGCAGCAGGACTACAAATCCAGTGGTGGCCCTGCCATTTCCTCAAGCTCTGAAGCTCCCTTTGGATTGCAGTGTGGAGAAGTTACAAAGGCCACATGCATAGCCTCTGGAGGGATGTCGGAGAAGGTGAATGCATCCTTCCATCAATATGACGGCATTTCTAACATCAAACAACTTCAAAACAGGGAATTGAGGATGGGCAAAGCAGCATAGAGGTATAGCTTGCATACAATTCTGAAGAACTGTGAAAGAAGCAGCAATGTGGCCTGCCCTTTTTTTTAGTGGAACTGAGAGCATTTCATGCCAGCTGGGGGGAAAGGCAGGGGTCAGACCACTTGCCAGTGGTGGACTGGGCCCAAAATGGCCGTGGCATGGATCAGATGGGCATCACACCTTTTCCTTCGCAGCCCCTTTTCCCCTGCTGGGGAGCCCTTCTTCAGCTCCCCCTCCCCCATCACCTCTGATTCTGACTGACCCCACTGCTCATCTGATTACTGAAAGGGAAGGTTGTGGGCTGCGTAAGAAGAGGCAGTGGTCCAGAAGCAGCCAAGGGGGTTCAGAGAGAAAAAGGGCATATGTCCTGGAGGCCGTGACCAGAGAGTGTGCGCATTGCGTGGAAAATCTACCAAATACAGGCCAGATATGCACATTCCCTGAAACCTCTTGGGACATTATGCATGCTGACTAGGAAATAGGCACAATTCCCTCTTCACAGATGCATTGGGTGCACATTCTCCATGAGGTGTGGTGAATGTGCACAATGGCCGCTTGTTACACATATTAACTAGCCGTCCCCATAACAGATATCATCCATGCTAGGATTCTTAGGACTAATTAAATTTAGTATTTAATTATTCAGTGTGTTTTATTTTATTCTGATGTGCTTATGAAAAAGATTTTTTTAAACAAAATTACAGCATTACATGTTCCGAGTAATGATTAGTGCAGCCATCATGTGAAGTTCAAGTCCTCTTTGAACTAGTTTTTGGTCTCTGCAGCTGTCTCCTCTGCTGCTGCTCTTTCATTTGAGCTGGGGTGGGGGAGGCACATGGGTTCAGGTGGTGGGAGAAGTGGTAGCAGGTTCCCGGTTCCAGCAAGATCTCTGAACTCACCTTCTTGGGTGTGAACTCCACTGAAAAGAGGCGACTTTCCACTACAAAATATACTTAGAATGCATACTTGTGGGAAGGCATATACCGTATTTTTCTCCCCATAGGACGCACTTTTTCCCCTCCAAAAATGAAGGGGAAATGTGTGTGCGTCCTATGGGGCGAATGCAGGCTTTCGCTGAAGCCTGGAGAGCGAGAGGGGTCGGTGCACGGTTCTCCGCATGGCGCGGGAGCCCTGCGCTGGGCTCCCGCGGCTTGCGGAGAGTTGCCTGCATGCCGAAGGCTGGGCGCACTGAGCTCAGCGCGCCCAGGCTTCGCGCAGCTCTCAGCAAGCAGCGGGAGCTGGCGCTGGGCTCCCACAGCTTGCGGAGAGTTGCCTGTTCTGGGGGCTGGGGTCAGGGGAAGCTCGGGCTTCCCCCACCCCAGCCCCGCATCTGGGGGGGGGAAATAAATTTTCCCCCTTTATTTCCCCCCCAAAAAACTAGGTGCGCCTTATGGGACGGTGCGTCCTATAGGGCGAAAAATACGGTAGTTCTTTAATAGTATGATATCTTTACTCAGAAGCAGTTCTGTAATTGGTATCCTGGCTGTATGTGGTTACAGCCCAATATTATTCATTTTGCTCAGATTTTAATGGTGTTTATTCCAAATAACTGAAGAAGCACACAGAATCATAGGAATCAACCTGGAACCCCCTGCAATCATCATCTGAAGCCTTTCTTCCTGTTGCTGCTTCACTGGAGGACAGGAGGTCGACAATACAAGAACTGGCCCTTTCTGTAGTGGCTACCCATTTGTGTGATGCTCTCCCCAGGGAGGCTCCTCTGGAGTGTTCAATATATATATTTAGGTGCCAGGAAAAAAAACATTTCTGTATAACCAGGCCGTTGGCTAATAAAACAATCTATGTCCTTTTAAACCGTGTGGGACAAGGGTTATTGGTTTGTGGGGGGTTTCAGTATTTTGTGTTCTCATTTTGTATTTTTATGTTGTGAACCGCCTTGTGATCTTTGGCTGAATAGCTGTATATTAAAATAAATAAATACATACATACATACATACATACATACATACATACATACATACTAGAACCATAGGGTGGAAGGGAGCCCAAGGCTCATCTAGTCCAAACCCCTGCAATGCACATGCATGTTTACTCTGGAGTAAACTCAAAAGCTATGGTTAGGTTAAGGTGCCTGGGGGCCCTGGTGAAGTTCTCAAAATAAAGCCACCACTTCCATGCAAAAGAAATACCTGAAATAAGGTGCCAACATTTTTTCCAATATTGATAGAAAAGGAAGAAGATACTCTGAGCATGTGCAGTTTTTCCCATTTTAAACTCTCTTGACTCATCATTGGTTTTAGTTACTTCATGCCAAGGGCCCATCACCAGCTCACAGTCTAACTCCATTTGGCACTTTCCATTTCCTAAACTGTGTGTCAAAGCATCTTCTTTGGGCACCTCTTCTGCCCAAAGCATACACACCAAGCATATTGAAATTCAACTGCAGCACATAGAGAACAGGAATCTCTGTTAGTTCAGTTTTACCTGTACTGTGTTACCCT